TGTATATATATATATATATATATATATATATATATGTGTGTGTGTGTGTGTGTGTGTGTGTGTGTGTTTTTGGAGATTTTCACGGGTGTAGGTATGCTGGCCTTGTTGTATTCGGGTCTTTTCCCGTGTAAGATTGAGATGCCGAAATACAAACACACACACATACTGTTACCGAAGTGTGCATATAATATATATCCTGTATATCTATCTGTCTACAGGACACACACACACGTCCTTACCAACTCTGACATGTATTCTTCTCCTTTCCATTAAGACTCCTGCTGAAAAGACGCCTGCCTAAATGCAAAAGGGGTTGCAACTGTTGTACACTTAAATGTCTATGGAGATTCTCAGTCATCTAGGTCATGGTTGTCCCAAAGGGGCTTTTTCAAGAGGCAAGTGGACTTTCTGGTTTTTCTTTGAAGAATGCCATATGATGATGATTGATTGATTGATTGACTTAAGAGCCAGTTTAATACAGTGGTTAAGGCATCAGGGTAGAAGTAGGAAGCATGCCAGCTGAGTGATCCTTATAGCAAGTCCTCTCTCAACTATAGATATCAGGCAAGGGCAAACCACTTCCAAAAATCTTTTTGCCAACTATCACTGCATGATGGATTTCTGTACATTCTCCTGTCATTGCCCCAAAAGTTTTGAAATTGCATTTATTGATGTTGTGTATTCCATCTTTCTGGGTGATAAGGACTGTGCAAAGCAAATGATAACATACAAAATGTTATTACAGAGATTAAAGTATTTGTGTGGAAGTAAGCTGCCACAAATTTACTATAATACCAGGAGAGGAGACACACCGGTAATTAAAATACATTGAATTACAAACCACCAGGTCTACAAACTTTTTGAAGAGTATCTGAGTTTAAGCTCTTGTTCTTGGGGGTGAAGTTCCACAGTCACATGGCTACAATCAAGAAATTGTCCTTCCTGCTACTTTGAGGAATCTTACTAGGAAGATGAGGCACCTGAACAAGGTCTCTAATGTTCCTCCATTGCCAGGCAAATTACCAACCAAATTACAAATGAGTTTAAGTATATTAATTGCCATATTTTGGCAATTAATGCCAAAGTAGCAAACTTGTAATACTATCTGTGATCTGTGAGCTTCAGCCACAAATGGTAAGTCATTAAATGTAGTTAGGTGCTAATTTTATTCAGTTTGGGACACCAATTCATCACATTTTATATACTCTTAGGCATTGGGTCCATTAGAACGACAGAGACCATACATTTGGGGGGGGGGGCGCTACTTTAAATTTTAGTCTTTAAATTTCCCACCGTGCCTTTCTATGTTGCACCTAAAGTTCTACATGATTTTGAACTGAGATCAGAAATATACTAACACTTTGTAGCTAATAGCTGTTTAGTCAACTGATTCTGATAAAACCTCAATATCCCCTACCACACCAATAAAATTGGAGCTCAGTTCTACCCGTTACCTACACCTTTCTGCTTCTATAACGTGACTTCGACAGAAAGCAGGAGTCAATAAACCTGAGATCATTATTTATCCAGTAAACCTGGATAAATATTTTTACTAACTGGATGAAGCTATTCTGTAACTGTATTGGATTGACCCACCTAACACTGGCAAATAATTTCAAATACTGTTGGGTAAAAAGCAATCCAAAGGAAATTATGTTGTGGCTTTCCTAGTTCTGCTAATCTACCATTCAGGCCATATCAAGCTAAATTAGTTTTAAGGCAAGGATTTGACATAGAAGGTCAAGCAGAATCTGCTGCTCTCTCATGGGGTGCATCTATAAATAATGTTAACAAAATTTTAGTTCCCAAATGGACTTCATATTTATACCAAATTTTGACCACTAAATTTTAACTCCTGGAAGAAAGTAGCAAACTTGTAATACTATCTGTAATCTGTGAGCTTCAGCCACAAATGGTAACAGTCATTAAATGTAGTTAGGTGCTAATTTTATTCAGTTTGGGACACCAATTCATCACAATTTATACTCTTAGGCATTGGGTCCATTAGAACGACAGAGACCATACATTTGAGGGGGGGGGGGCGCTACTTTAAATTTTAGTCTTTAAATTTTAGTCTTTAATTTCCCACCGTGCCTTTCTATGTTGCACCTAAAGTTCTACATGATAGTCAAACCATTTACTATTATGAAATGCTGTAGATTTTAGTGATTTGGATCATGGATCCTAATCTCAAAGGTGAAAGAGGGTTTGCAATTTTTATTGTTCTGGGGTCCTTCGCGATTTCCTGGCCTATCTGATATTATGCTGTTGGTGTGACTTTGACAGAGAGCCACACTTGGAAAAATTCGCTGTTGTCCCAGACCATGACATTAAGACATAAGCTTTAGAAATAATTTACTAACTACCGCTAATAGGCAGGTAATCTTTTTTACAGAGGTCTATGGGCACTTCTTTTTAGTAGGAGTGCAATCTGTCTCTGCAATTTGTATAGAGAGAATTTCACTGTGATAAGATGAACTAAAGTCTGAGAATTTATATACGTCAGGACTGGCCCGAATCAGGCTTGATTGTTTAATGAAAAAGATGCTTAACTGATATTAGCTTGTCATTTATTTATGACTCTTTAAAATGCAATTATTAACTGCTTTGATATTTTTAATTCGAAGTGTTATATAAGTGTTTTAAATAAATAAAACTATTTTTCCTTCCTGGAGTTCAATTTTTGATGCAAACCATTATTTGTTTTACTCATTATTACTGAGCATCATTTCACAGAGTATTAATATTTATGCCATTGTACTTTGGTATCTTGTTAAATCATCTCAATTGGTAAGCTATATCTTACACATACTATGCAGGGATTCAGACCAGTTTTTTTTAATGCTTGTAATCTACTTCCTTTATTTCAGCAAAGTACCAGTAAATTGAAGTACTGGTTTTTAGAATCTACAACACAAAAATATAAAAAATCCAAAATACAGAATACCACAGTCATTTCGAAAGTGATTAAAATGTCACATGAAATTTTGCAGTGGAGCAGTGATCATGAATGTATTTCACAATGCAATAGGCAGAAGTTTGCGTGTTTCTTACAGAGAATCCTCAGACCTGAGCAAGTCGTTCTAGGACTCGTCGATAATCTGAAATAAGTTGCTGGTACGTCTCTTCCAATTGTTTATGTTGTAAATTTATGTCTATTTGGTTCAACTGATTGGTCAACTCTTCTGGTCTTAAACATCTTCTCATCTTGGCAATCTCTCTCTGCTTTTTCTAGAAAACAAAAGCATTTACACATATGAACAACATTACCACATTTCACCACCTCCTGCCAGTTCATTGATACTGTGCTAAAATGATAGATTTGTATTCTACTAAAATAAATTAAAGATTAATTGGAGATTTCCTTACCAGGAACAGAAGCAGAAAACTAAAAGAACTTGGAGAAGGGATATTCAGGCAAAATAAAAAGAAGGAAAGAAAGTTGGAATTTGGAAAAGTCTGTGGTGGACAAAATATTCATTCACTCCTTCCCCTCATGACAAATTCAAATAAAAAATTAAAATGATAGAAAAGCCACCTTATATGGGCCCATCAATCTTCTTTTTACATCCAATCGAAAACTTCTGGATTGTTCTGCATTACTCATGTCTGTTGCATGTAACCGGAGAATTTCATAAACTCGCCGTGTATGTTGCTAAGAGTAAAAGGAAAAACGTGATAAAAAGAGTTGAAATTATTGCTCCCAATGTACAAAGTTAAAAATCTTGCCTATTATCTTTTCTTCTTGACTACTGTTTCCATTCCTTAAACTTCAGCAGTCACTATATAATTCATCATATCCATTTTAACCTATCCTCCTTTTTCAAGGACCTAACTTTCTCAAATCTTGGATATTCATTTATAGCACTTATATACCACCTAGCCTACATAACTCCAGGTTGTTTAAAAAAGTAAGATTAATACATAAAACTCAAACATATCAAAACCTAACTTCAGCAAGATATAAATTGCAAAAAGATAGCAGACATTAAGCTCCTGATCAAAAAGTGGCACATAATTCTAATAAGCAAATAAATAATTCTGGGGTGGGTGGTTAGATGAGGTGTGTGTTACAATTTACTCACATTTTTGTTCTAGGCAAAAGATTTATTTTCATTTTGAAATCTGTAAGTTTCAAATAGTCAAGCCTTCTGAATCTTTTCTCCCTAGAAAATTGGTGTCCTAAATCCCTCAAAGGCTTTATTGAATAACTATACAAAAGTCAGATCTCAACAATAATTTGAAATTGACTGTTGGTAACCAATACAAATATTACCATGAATTTGGAAAAAAATAGTATCTTGACCTAGAAACATTGTTTAAAAATTCAAAAAGCTACCTTAAAACGCATGGGGTTTGTAGAACCTATCCGTAAAAAAAGCTGTATTGTACTAAATAGTTTTCAACATAATTACGATCATATATAGTTTTGGTTACAATGTAGTCCTTCTGTAAATAATTCCTTATCTAAGGACACTTTGCAGATAGTCCTAGACCCAGAACCATTCGTTCAGTGACCATTCAAAGTCATGACAGCACTGAACAAATGGTAGTTATAACCAGTCCTCAGCATTCTGACCATCCTAGCACCCCTATGGTCACATGATTGCAATCTGGGCACTTGGCAAGCAGTCCACACTTGCAACCAGGTGCAGTGCTTTACAATCCCATGATCACAATCTTCCCTGCTGGTTTACTCAGTCAATTGGAAAGCCATCAATCTGGGAAGGTTAAAAGTCATTGGGATAAGTATCCCACACCCATGTTCCCTTCTGCTGATCTTCTGCACTTGCACTGCATTGGTCAGTCATGAGCCTCATGTATTCTTCCCAACCCTTGTCATGCCTTTCTCATACTTTCACCAACTTGGGCCATGACTCTTGCATACTCTCTCATGTACCTTTCCTGATCTGTGGCTCTTGTGAACCTGCCCTGACCCTCCCCCACATCTCTTTATTCCCTCCCCCTGCCTGCTAGTCTGGGACATGCAACTTCCTGCCAGCTTCCCCACTGACTTTAGTTGTGGGAAGTGGGCAAGAAATTGCCTCCCCTAACGATAATGGGATTCAGTTAACAGCAGCAACCAGGACTGTAAGGATTGCCAGCCCTAGGGATGATGAGAGCATGCTTAGCAACAGAAACTGCTGTCATAAGTTGAGGATTGCCTATACCTCTATCATTTTACATTCCTGCAGCTGCAAAGGAAAAGAGAAATCAACGAAAATCTTATTTAGCAAAGTCCCAGGTTGGATATAGAATACGTCTTCAAATAGGACACCAATTTGGTTAATATTGGCTACATTTAAAATATTACTAATACCTTATTTACTTTCAGCTTCTGTTGAGCTTCTATTACCATATCTTGACTGAAGCCTTGCTGAAGATTCTCTGGAGAAAAGCAGGGTAAATCTTGACACAATTTTACTAATACAAAATCTCGCAATTTCACATAGCTTTCAGATGGATCTTCAGCTAAAAGAAGAAAAGATAATTGTTAGATTTTCAACCAGAAATTTCCCTTTATGAATTACTACTACAAGACGATTCAAAACAGTTAGAGAAATACCTGAGATTATCCATATACCCATACCCAAGGCCTGAAACCATTCCATAGCTGATGTCAGTTTTAAAAAAAAATCCAACAAATCTATCACCAGGGTTTGCTTAATATTCTCATTCAAATACCCAAGATATCTTCATTGCTTTATCAAAGTGGTAGGGGTTGTTTATGATCCAGTGTGCAGGTGGAACAACACAAGCACAAACAACAAGCACAAGCAATTGGAGATCAGTGGCCTTGCAAGTAACATGGTCCTATGCCATGTAGAGCTTTACAGGCAATAACGAGCACTTTTAAAACTTGGTAGCTTCGTGGAAGCTGGTGCATCTGAAACCCACTGGAAACTACTGCAACGCAAGTGGCAGGCAACAATGTGTTACAAAATGCCTGGAATTGCTGAAATGCTGCATCCTGCTGCATTCTGGACAAGATGCATCTTCTGATTACTTTTCAAGGGCAGGCCCAACTAGCGTATATTACCATAATAGAAATGGGCAGGATACTGAAGTGCACCTCCCATTTCTATTACTATGAGGAGTGTTTCCTCATATAGAAAAAAGGTGAAATTGGCACGAGATAGAATCCATTAGACTTGGGCAGCTAATAAATCTAAATACAAGTAGTTTTCCTTAATGAAGCTAATTGGGACTAGAAACTCCATTAAGAGATGTGGTTGTAAGTTGAAAAAAATAATGTGACCACACTGCTTAGCAATGACAGTTCCGGCAGTCCCATAAGTAAGAACCTTATGTGACTTGCTGCCAGCTTCCTCATTGACTTGGTTTGTTGGATGCCAGCAGGGAAGGTTGCAAATCATGAACATGTGACCATGGGAAGTTGCAACAGCCACAAATATGAGGACCAATTGTAACTGCTGCTTATTCAGTGTCATTCAATACCAAGTTCAAATGGTCACCGAATGATTAAATGAGAACCACCTGTAAATACAATAAATCTATAAAAATCTGTGCAAAGCCTCTCCTGGCTACAGTTGCCAATTACTCTTTGAGCGGAACTATTATTACAATAAGACCTCCAAACTGCACACCAGTTCTGTCTGAGGAAGTGCAATCTATTCAGAGCAAAAGATGAAAAGTTTCCTAATCCTCCCCAATTCATAGCTACCCAGTTATGCCAGACTGAGATGCAGCCTGTTATTCTCCATCCAGACCTTCACAGCCATCAGACACTAAGAACTCCAGACTTAGTAATGTACTGGTAATACCATGCCAAATCTCAATGGATGACCTCATCTAGTTAGCTTCATTTAGCTGTTAGGAATACAGAGTGTACAGTCCTGAGGAACCCCACAGAGTAGAAGCTCCAGGCTCAACCCCCTTTCCCTATTAATAATGATTAGATTGGCCTTGGAGAAAGGAGAAGAACCACCATAACATTCTGTTTCCCTGTATCAAGAAGAGCCATGACAGCTATTCCTCAGCTTCCAGCACATCGGAAGAGTTCCTGACCTCACTTCAAAACTTTAACTCTTTGCTACATGCTTAGCCCTCCTCAAAAATCTATTCTGAGTCCTGCAAACACATACCCAACCCTGGTACTGCCCCAATCCAAAACAAAAAACCCGTTGCAAGGAAATTTATACAAGCACATTTAAAAAATAATAGATTGTAAAACCTAGCTCCCATTTTCCTCTTCTGAATATTTCAATAATGACTCAGAAATAGTAATATCCCATTTCATTCTACATGCATCAAAACTATTTAGTTAGATAAATGTAACGTATACATGTATACATTCATTATGCTTAAACTATTACACTCTCAAAAACTCGTAATGATTTGCAATATAAGCACAAACACAATAAAACAATGTATCATAATACTTAGTGTCATTCTTAGGTATCTGCAACTGAAGATGATCTTAACGATTAAAACATTTTTAAATAATCATTTTCAAGATGATTCTAAACACTGAACATTAAATGAATTTCTAGTCTACATCCCACGCATCCCCAGAGTGTTGTATTTGCATATTTAACTTTTCAAACATACATATGTATGCATCCATATTTGATAATGAAAGCCATGAATTTTGAATATTTTTTGTTGATTTCTCACAGGTTGATTTAATAGGCCACTGTAAAGAGCAATCCCTTGGGGTGAATAAGCATTTTTCCCTACATATTTTTGGTTTCCTTCCACCTAGGATTTTACTTAAAGATACCATGACCAACCTTGTCAGTCTTTGGCAGAAAAGATTTTTGTACTCATCCTTATAAGGTGTAGCCTCATACCAGGCTCCCTCATCCTGGTAACTTGGGCCATGGTCTCAGAAACCAAATTAATCCAATTAATACATTTTTGTTGAATTTTGAATTATACCTCCCAATTCTGAACTCTTTCAATCTATGAGCAACGAAATGAATATTAAGCTTGGACTCTTATTTAAAAAGTGTTTATGTAGTCTGGTTTGATCAATTCCATTATGTTGGTTTAATTAAGTTTGCCAGTACCAGTGTTTGAATTAACTCTGAGTCCAAAAAGAGGCAAAATAACACAATGTAATTCACTTAGGCATAATAAATATTGAAACTACTAAAAATTGAAGCCACTAACTACTATGGAATACTCCATTCTTTGATCCAAAGTTATTTTTGTGTAAAAAGATGTAGCAAATTATCAGTATGGTCTCAGTTAAGACCTCTCATAAATGTTCATTGCATCCAAAGTTTCAGAAGCCATGAGGGTATTCGGATCAGACAATGAATGTAACAAATGTGCAACAGCCTGAATTTAGCCATAGCTTTCTGTTGGCTATTCATATATTCAAATACACACTTTGTGCTAGTTTTTCTGATAAGGAAAAGATGGGAAGAGAGAGATTTAGTGTTATAGAGGAAGTGTTACCGCAGGGGAAAAACAGAGGGCCTCCAGATACTAGAGTGGCATTAGATGCATTATCTTAAAAATTCAAGAACTGGGGAAGAACTTGAAAAAGAAATGAGGTAAAATTAATAACAAAAAACAAAACGTGAGCTGTGAAACTGGACTTAAATTGGGCAGTAGCTACATTGAAGCCTTGTTCATTTGAAGGTAAATTCAGAGAAGAATGTTGAAGACCCAAAGAGGAAGATGTGTTGTGGGATGTAGCTGGACAGATGAGCCTCCTGGGATAGAAGAGCATGAAAGATCAAAGGTTTTACCAACTAGAGTAGAACCAGCTGGCAGCCAGACTCACAGAGGGAAAATTGCTCTCAGTATTTGTAAGATTTTCCTAAATTATAAAGTAAGTAGCGCTCATCTATATTAAGTCAACATTATGGAGTGCATACGTATTCCAGTCAGAAAATACTTATGTCACCTTATATTAAGCAGAGAGGAAAGATTAGGTCACTCTGCAGTTCAGAATCTTCAACCAACTATGTTTATCTAGAAATGGAAAAGAGGAGGTGGATTAGAAGAAATGGTAAAATGGATCTGTCTGGTCAGGGGTAAAACAAGTAATTTTATACAAGACTGGAAACCTTTTATGGACTTTTTTTTTCTTCCAGAAAATGAAAAAAAAGAATAAAATGGTGATTTCTGGATTTGCTGAATGAAAAAAAGGTTGAGTATGGGACAGAGAAATTTTTGTAATATAATTTTAAAGAGGGAGTAATGATAATTAAGTTTGTAGCTAAATTGTATTTTATCCAATTCTATTTTTGCTTTTATGAAATTTTAGTAATAATGTTTCTAGAACTCTGCACTTTGATATGGCCCAAGGCCCAATTAATAAAATTAATGAAAATGAAAGTTTGTAGCTGCTATAAAGAAATCACTTCTTTAATTATCCTGTTTCTTTTTCTAGCTGTACTGTTTTTTTTTTACTTTTTCTTTTACCTTCTATTTTCTATCTTATTTATATATTCCCATGTTTATCTTTTAGTATGTTAAAATCTTCATAAAATTTATACCTTTTTTTAAAGCATAGGTGGAAAGGTCCAAGTTTAACATTTCTGGAAGTAAATAAACTTGCTAAATCTATAAAGGAATGCAATTAGGAAATCAAGACTAGATTCTTAACCAAAGTAACTTGCTTGTTTTTATGTCTAGCATTTCAAATAAAAGGAAAAATAATCTGAAACACCTTATATTGGTTTTTTCTAAAAACTTGAGAATCTACAGCAAGCCCTTGTGACAAAATATTTTACTATCAAGAACCTGCCAGGATAGAAACCATACTAAGTAATAAAACCATTTTCTTCCCTAAGCATTAATGTCAGGAATTTATCTCTTTTGATACCATTAAGTTAAGGAAGCTAGGCTGTATGAAATGGTGCAGTTCTGTTGACAGAATAATATACAGATAGTTTTTGGCTTACGACCACACTTAACTCCAAAATTTATGTTGCTGAGAAATTTGTTAAGTGAGTTTTGCCTCATTTTGACTTTTCTTGTCACATTTCTTAAGTGAATCACTGCAGTTGTTAGATTAGTAACATAGCTGTTAAGTGAATTTGGGTTCCACATTGACTTTGCTTGTCAGACGGTCACAAAATGTGACCATTCATATATATAAAAAAGTTGTGGAGTATCTGAATGTAAATCACATGACTACGGGGATGCTGCAATGGTCATAAGTGTGAAAAATGGTCTTAAGTCACTTTTTCAGTGCCATTGTCACTTTGAACAGTCACTAAATGAACTGTTGTAAGCCAAGGACTATCTGTTCAGCAGCACAACACATTCCTCTTCATGCCTGTGCTTTCAAAAGATTGAGAGGAAGTAGGGTACCAATACAGGTCTCAAACATGAAGGGGGGGTGGGATACTGTTTGTATAATGCTGGATGTACCATTCTCACTACAAGTGAAACTCAAGAACCCTAACAGAACATTAGTTTGCTCAGGTAGTTGTTTTCTTATACCAAAACTACGCTATTACATATTGTGTATTGCAGCTCTCAATAAA